CCTTTATGTTTGATTTATCTATGTCTATTCTACAAAAATGCTCTTTGGAGGCCGAGCACCGTGGAGCTCGCTATCTTGGGCATCGGTCTTCACAGTGATTAGCCGCAGCTACGTACTTGTCTCATGTATTCCAGCCGTCAGGCTTTTACACGGCACCGTATTGCACAGTGGCAGCACACATTAACTAGTGGCTATACCATCGCACGAACAAGTGCCATCATTTAGTACTGGAAAAGATCACAACCCACTGCCCCTCCGGCCAGTTAACAAACCTGCGCCACCGTCATCCAACTCGGAATATCAAATTTCTAGGACAAATCACAATCATGTAATCACCAAAATATGTGCGTTTTATTACATGAAATCACCCGAAAACATAATTTCTTCCTTGATACTTAAAGAAAAAGAGAAATTATGCATAATTCGAATTGATTTTAATGTCACATCTTGGAATGACAGTTTTCCTTCACATGCATTTTCTAGATGCTTTTTCCATATTACTTTTGCATTTTTCATCAGAAAATTCCGGTGACAAATTTGTGTTATGCAATGCGAGAGGCGATTTCCTATGCATGGTGGTAGCTATGCACGCATGATGGCACCTACACACCCTTTGGCATAAATGCCTTTTTTTGATATATGAGGTGTTGCCGTGTCGGGTTTCAGATGACATTGACACGAGTGCATTTTTACCGTATAGAAATGACTTTTCTCACTTCTTTTTGTCTTCTTATTTCCCTTTTTACACAAGTGCCTTTTTGTTGTGTACAAAGAGTCTTTTCTCACTTCTCTTAGTCTTTTTGCTTGCCTTTTTTTTGGCACAATTGCCTGTTTTGCTTGCCTGGCTGGTCCAAAGTCATGATATTTTTTATAGAATTATTTTTTCATAGTCCAAAATAATTAAAGATAAATATTGGGGCCATGCGTAGCTATCATCATGGGTAGCAAATTATTTATCTATGCAAAGTGCCTTCCTCTCAAAGTCTGGCTCTTTTTGTTTTGTGAGGGAAAGTCTTGCTCTTTTTAACGAGCAACGATGCAACGACTCCTTATGCGATACACAAATAAGTGTACGCCGGCTAAGCTCGCACGTATAGCGCAACTCATTCACTCTATGGTCAAATTTTCACACACTATACTAGCAGTTTATTTTAAATACAATCGCCCCGTAGCACTAATAATTCTGTTACCAATTGAATATACATCCTCCTTTAGTTCTTCCATGCCATACCATAACTTCCCGTAAAAAAAAAGTCATACCATAACTGCGCCTCAGGTCAACCCCATGGCACTCCAAGTAATCGCGTTTTGCAGATGTAAATTTGTTAAGAAATTCTCATATGTTATACTCGCATGGGAACAAGATAAATCACCCATACGAAATGACAATTTATGTTCCGGCTCCTCTAGCAAAGGCTGGAAACAATTCGACTATTGTCACTCTTCAAGTTTTTAGCCAACTGCGGATGCTACACCAGTGTTCCTAATCTTTCCAATTAAGGTGCACTCTAGTAATTTTATGGCGGCATTTGTTTAAGAGAAAACTGTAAAAATTATTATGTTCTTTTAAATGATATTTCTTATTTTCTTAATCAGCTAAAATAAGATGCACTCTGCCTAGTGCGGTCATATTTTATTTTTAAATCAAATAGGCGCACCAGGTTCGTCTTGATTTTATTTTTATTTACTAACTAGCACCACGTTACCTTGCATGAAGATTTGCACCAGGGACTGTTTTGGGGGTTTGTTGCACACCCAACCGAATCCCTAAACTAAAACAAGTGTATTTTTTAACAAATTTTACGATTACCCTGAATTGCATTTCCCCAAGGAGAATTTCATTCCAATCCCATCCATGGCTAAATCGCTCCTGCTAGCGTGACGGAGGAAGAGGACAATCGGTCTAAAGTGGCAAACATGTGCATCGCTTTCAATTAATATATTTTTGAACATCACTTCCAGTTAATTTTTTTAGGGGTAAAGCCTAGTCTTCATCACTTTCAGTTAAATGTAACGTGATTTGATTCATTATTAGTTTTTTTAGGGGTTTGTATCATTATTAGTTGGGCCCATCCATATTAATCCATATTAATGACACACTAGGCCGGCCCTGCACCATATGTGGATTAGGCACATCTGCCACCCAAGCAGAGGCCTATCCGCCCATGTACAAATCTAGCACATCCACCACGGCACCTGTGTATTCCCCATCGTACATGCATTTGCAAATGCACGCTGCACACATCACAACATGTCAACGCAAGGCCTAGATAACGGCCTCCAGGTCGCTCGGCCTCCAAAATGCTCCACTCTCTATTCTATATCTATATTATTATTATTACGAATATAAAAAGACCCAAAGAGCAGAACCAACAAATCTTGACCATCAACCAACGTCAATCCAATGACCTATATTACTCCAATGACAAGCGCTCAATATGTTTAGCGTGCAATTAATAACTTACTAAATATAGGATGTTCATGTAACTAACGCATAGCTGATATCCTATCTAATATAATATCAATGTATAATTAATTTTCTCCTAGTATCAACGTGCATTACATGTATGCATTTACTAGTTTATTATTATAGACACAAGAGGCATGCCTTGAGCATCCGTCCATCGTTCCTCTTAATCGAACACCTACGTAGGAATATTTTCCTCGTGTGGCGTCATCTCACGTTTCGCCGCTCGACTCGCAATGCCACCCCTTCACCAGTGTCACTCTTTTTTCCATACTAACCAGTTGCATAGAAACCAGCGATGCTCCCGTCGCAGCGCCAACTTTCACTAGTGTTGATTCTTGTTCCATCCTAACCTGTGCCATAAAAACCAGCAACGCCCCCGTTGCAGCGTCAATGACACGCTCCCTTGCAGCATCTGGTGATGCTACCAACCGACGAGCTCACATGAAAGGTGATGTTGTGATGCCTCCATCACAACACTCACGAAGACCCCATCACAACACCCGACGATGCCCTCCTTTCCCATCACAACAACACCGCCGACCCGCCATTGCATTTAAGCATCCATCACCAATGAGATCTTCAGCTTGCAGGGTCATTGCATTGTAGCAAAATACCCCCGGTGGGATCCTGCGGTGGCTGCTCATCTGTCGATTGCAGCACCACGAGTGACACTCCATTGCAACATATGCCGCCGATGAGATTTGCGGGTTGTAGCATCACTCTCGTTGCATTATAGCAACCACCACTAGTGAATCTCCTGTAGTTGCAACACCAGCCGCCTGTTTGTAGCACAACGAGCATGCGTTGGGAGGCTGCACCGGTGTGTTCAATGCTGGAGAGGGGAGAAGCAAGAGGAAGGGAGAGAAGACAATTTGAGCATAAGCCAAATGAGTCGCTCTCTCGTAACCTCTTAGAGATAAGGAAGAACATGACAGGGGATGTGTGGCGGGCATGGGACGGGGATGATTTCTCAAGAAATCAACCAAATAGTTTAAACACTTTTCCATAAATAAAAAATAGATTTCGCTACAAATCTAATATCAAATTTTTAAGTAGACCAAAACAAACACTTGAAATGGCACATTATGTTGTCGTGAGGATAGCAATTCCTTTTAGCAAGCCAACTTTTTGCCGGGAATTGCCATGCTTGCCAAACGAAATTGGCATCCTCGCGATAATATAATTTATCATAAAAATCGTATGATTTGTCGTACCTAAAAAAACTGACGTTAATTTTTTAGCATTTTCGTAAGTAATACTCTCTCCGTCTTAAAATAAGTGTCTCAACTTTGTACTAGCTCTAGTATAAATTTATACTAAGCTCAAGACACCTATTTTGAGACGGAGTGAGTATAAGGTTAATGTGACACGAAATTTCCGAGGGGTCGGCAAGACCTAAGGCTGGTTGTAATGGTAGTATCATACCTAGTATCATGCATGTCAACTAAGCAATTTTGATGAGGTATCGTAGCATTAAATGAAGAAAGAGAGGGTGTAGTATCATATCATGATACCGTATCATATTAAATGCTATGCTACTTTGTGTCATGCATGACAATAAATAGAGTACTACATGATACTAATATATGATACTATGCATTAGGGAGGTAGTATCATACACTAGTATCATATGCATGATACTAGTATATGATACTCCCCATTACAACCAGCCTAAGACCCACACGTCATCGTGGGATCTCCGATATAGCTGGCCAAACGGGCCGTGCTAACTGGGCCGGCCCGGTAGCACGCAGGAACGGCACGGCCCAGGCACGGCACGGCCCGAGCTAAACGGGCTAGGCCCGGCACGCGGCACGCCATGGGCCATGCCTGGGCCTGGAGGCTGGGCACGCGGGCCGGCACGGCACGGCCCGTTTAAATTTTTTTATATATATGACCTAAATTACAGCCCAATAGGCCTAAAATACAGCCCAACAGGCTAAAAATCAGATGGGCCAGCGTGCTAAACGTGCCACGGGCCGGCCCGTTTAATAATCAGGCCGTGCCTGGGCCAGAGAGCCACGCCCGTGGGCCGGCACGGCCCGGCCCGGCTATTAAACGTGCCACGGCGGGCCGTGCCGGGCCAGGCACGATTAGCACGGGCTGGGCCGTGCCGTGCCGGGCCGGCCCGTTTGGCCAGGTCTGATCTCCGAATCCAAGAACAAAAAAGAAAGGCTCTCAGCAGCAAAACGTAAACACCGAAGCAGCCGGGTCACAGATCCCAACGCCCCTACAGCTGGGCCACCGCGAGGTCCGCCACGCCGCGGATCGCCAACACCCGACCCCATCCCCGCCGCGCCCCAGAGAGAGAGAGAGAGAGAGTCACCGCGCCCGCGCGCGTCACGAGACTGAAAAATCGCACCAGAAGCTCAGCAAAGCAAGGCGAAAAGTAACGCGGCGCCACCACCGCACACCACACCACACCACACCGTCGCGCCCGTCTCCCGCCCTCCACCGACCCCGCCGCGGCCGCCCCGCGTGCCCGAAACGGCGAAACGCCACGCTGCCTTCTAACCCCTTCCGATTTTAAATGCCACCGAGGCCCACGCCGGCGCCGGGGCAGCTGCCACGCCCGCGCCCGCCCCCGCTGATGCCGGTGGCGAAGAGGCCGCCCGCTCCGTGGGCGCTGGCCCTCCCGGCCGGCCGCCGCGCGCGCGCCCGCCTCTGCCTCCGCCTCGCCGCGCCGCTCTCCTTCCTGCTCCTCCTCGCGGCGTTCCTCCGCACCCAGCCCCCGGCCGCGCCGCTCGACGCGCTGCCGCCCTCCGCTGGGCCGGGGAAGGTGGCCTTCCTCTTCCTCGCCCGCGCCGGCCTGCCGCTCGACTTCCTCTGGGACGCCTTCTTCCGCGTAAGCGCCCAGCGGCCTCTCCCTCCCGTGACTCGTTCGTTACGTTTGGTTGTCTATTCGATTGGTTCTGATCGTCGCGTGCGTGTTTGGGCAGAATGGGGAGGAGGGGAGGTTCTCCGTGTACGTGCACTCGGCGCCGGGGTTCGTCCTTGACCGCACCACCACCGGATCGCCGTACTTCTACGGCCGTCAACTCGCGAGGACCGTCAAGGTTGACCCTCTTCCCAACTTTTTCGTATCTGGTTTCCGTGATCGCGGAGTCCAGGGTTCGATTTTGAGTTGGGGAAATATGGTTGCGTCCTGCAGGTGGCGTGGGGCGAACCAACCATGGTCCAGGCTGAGAAGATGTTGTTCGCCGCCGCGCTTGAAGATCCCGCCAACCAGCGATTTGTTTTGCTCTCGGATAGGTATGTGCTCGTTTTCTTCGGAGGTAGTGATCTCGTTCCGTTAGTTCGCATAATAAATGTAGTTGTCACTAGTGATCGATTAAATAACTAGATATTTAATAACGGTAATTTACATGTTAATTTAGTACTAGGATATCTATTTATCACGCCCTCACTTCGATTGGAATACATCCGATTCCATTTGTACTAGAATTGAAGTGGGTAGTCTTCTGAGTGATGCATTGGCATTCTGTTTCCTGTTGCGGTGCTTATTCAGAGGACCACCGCGGGGATAACATCCTTTTTACTCGGGAATTGCTAGATGATGGAAGGAAAATTATGGGGTCATGGAACATTCTGTGATTCGTTGTTCCTTGGTTTCCCTTGTGTGTGCTTCCACAAGGGATTAATCGTTGCTTGACTTACTGTATTAAGTATGAAGCATGCATACATGCCCAAGCTGAGAGAGCTTTTGTACAGATTTTGTTTTATTCCTTAGTATGCATTGTTGGAAATATGAGCAATTTACCGAATGATTTTATTAACAGAAATACTAGATAAAGCATGACTAGTATAGCAGTGATAAAACAAGTCATGCGATTTGACAAAGAGAAGGTAAATACCATCTGCATATATGAGCTAGAACCGATCATCTCTAGAGCAGACAGTAGATCAAGATGCATATATGAGGTAGATCCTAACATGTCTAGGGCAAACACTAGAACAAGCAACTGTGACAGGACCTCTAACAGGATAAACAAGAACACGTACGAGACAGTAGCCGGAGCAGATGCACTGGACTTGGGGTCGGTGTCCTCCATGTCGTCGAGGAGGATGTCGACGTTGGGGAAGTAGTCATCGTTGGGGAAGTAGTCGCCGGAGTCCGGGGCGTCCGTGACGAAGAAGTCAGTAGTCGCGCAGAGCGCTCCCAAAAACCTTATCACCCTTCTCCCGTACAGGACTCAAAGAGGTGCGGTTTCGGAGGCCTACTGTCCCGACCTGTGGTGCACGCCGCAAGCCGGGATGAGGAAGATCGTAGCAGCAACATAGTGTTCAGGAACCGGTGGCGAGAGGAAGAATGAGTTCTGGTGCATCTCTCTGAAAGGAGCGACCTCCCTTTTATAGGCGCACGAGAAGGAGGCGAGAGGGCAGCGATGGAAGGTGAAACGAAGAGACGAAGATGAAGCGAACAGCCAGCAGCCGAAGGGTTGCACCATTCGCATTCAAACTCTACTATCGCAAAAACTTTTCAGCTTTCGTGTGACCTTTCGTATACCCGTAGTGCGTGGCAAAAATTTAGACATCGGCTCGGCTCATTCCCGCAACCCGCGGCACGTCGTGACGAGGCGTGGCGAGGCGGGCGGCGGAGGAGGAGCGCGCGTGGATGTCCCTCTTATTGTCATGCTCATACAAGTGGGGAAAGAGCCTCCCTTATAAAGAGGTCCAACTCCCTCTAAACTAGCAATGTGGGACTAAACTTTAGTTCCACCTCTTGCCTTGCACTAATGGGCTGCGTGGGCCTCTAGGATTTATTAGGAATTTCTAAAACTGCTATTACGCTAGGTCCAAATGGACAAAAATTCCAGCAATCACCCACCAGATCCCAGAGGCACACAAAATTTGCCTTTGGTTCCAAAACACTGTTTTATATACCGGTACTACAGTGGAGACTGTTAAGTTGAACTTCCACCTAGAACTCTATGCTACACTAGTAAGTGGACTGGGCCTTGAACTGCAAGTTTTCTGCGAATCTAACTTCACATAAAGCCTTGACCGATACGTGGCTACCGTGGGTCTTTCCCGCGGGTGGAGCTTATGCGTCATACTCCGAGACCTTTCATGAGTTTACTAGAGAGAACCCTACTCTCATAGATTGCGACGTTTAACAATCAGACTCATATAGGTGCGTTCTTCAAAAGATGTTCTGCAGGACAACATCTCTGCTTCAAAGAGCCTCTTAGAATACATTAAGATATACATCAACCTGCCATGCAGATTTAGGAGAGTATTGCATCTTCATGGAGTGGTATTTTTAATAGTAAAGGTACTCTCCTCCCAGTTGACCAACAACTTGTCTTCCACATCTAATTCACGGGATCTCCGATCACAAAGAATAGGTTACCACTGTGAACAACTCATATTGTGGGTCTCATACCCATCTCCCTCAATGCATTATCTATCACATTACGTGATAGACCCTTAGTAAAAGGATCTGCCAGATTTTTAGACGTTTGGATATAATCGAATGCAATAACTCCGGAGTTTTTCATTTTTCTGACAGACTTTAACCTTCTCTGAACGTGTCTTGATGACTTCATGTTATCCTTTGAACTGTTCACTTTCGTGATCACAGTTTGATTATCGCAGTTCATAAGGATACCCGGTACAGGTTTCTCAACAACCGGCAAGTCATTCAAGAGCCGACGAAGCCAATCTGCTTCGACCATAGTTGTATCTAGTGCTGTGAGTTCTGCTTCCATTGTTGACCTCGTTAAGATGGTCTGCTTGCAAGACTTCCAAGAAACAGCGCCACCTCCATGAGTGAATACATATCCGCTCGTGGCCTTTATCTCATCAGCATCTGAGATCCAGTTTGAGTCACTATACCCTTCAAGCACCTTTGGGTGCCCAGTGTAGTGAATTCCATAATTCGCAGTGCCTTTCAAATAACGCAAAACTCTCTCTAGAGCTTTCCAATGCACATCTCCTGGTTTTGAGACAAACCGGCTCAGTTTGCTAACATCAAAAGAGATGTCAGGTCTTGTAGCACTGGCTAAGTACATAAGCGAGCCAACAATCTGAGAATATTTCAATTGGTCTCTAGCAATTCTTCGATTCTTTCGAAGCAACACACTAGCATCATATGGTGTTGGAGAGGGGTTGCAGTCACTGTAGCCAAAGCGACTCAAGATCTTTTCCACATAGTGGCTAAGTACATAAGCGAGCCAACAATCTGAGAATATTTCAATTGGTCTCTAGCAATTCTTCGATTCTTTCGAAGCAACACACTAGCATCATATGGTGTTGGAGAGGGGTTGCAGTCACTGTAGCCAAAGCGACTCAAGATCTTTTCCACATAGTGAGATTGAAGCAATGTAATCCCACCATCATCGTCTCTCAACAACTTGATGTTCAGAATGACATCAGCCACTCCTAAATCCTTCATCTCAAAACAGCGAGATAGGAAATCCTTGACCTCCTTAATAACATTCAGATTTGTTCCAAAAATCAGTATGTCATCAACATACAAGCAAAGCATAACTCCCTCGCCCCCACCAGACGATATTACACACATTTGTCAGCTTCGTTCACAACAAAGCCTGCAGTTGTTAAAGTTCTTTCGAACTTCTTATGCCACTGTTTGAGTGCTTGCTTGAGTCCATACAAAGACTTCAACAACTTGCACACTTGCCCTTCCTAACCATCTATTACAAACCCATCTGGTTGTTCCATATAAATATCCTCGTCCAACTCTCCATTTAGGAAAGCAGTCTTAACATCCTCGTCCAACTCTCCATTTAGGAAAGCAGTCTTAACATCCATTTGATGAACGAGAATACCATGTGAGGCAGCTAGTGAAAGTAGAACTCGAATAGTGGTCAGTCGAGCCACAGGTGAGTAAGTATCAAAGAAGTCTTCACCTTCCTTTTGGGTATAACCCTTTGCCACGAGCCGAGCCTTGTACTTTTCAATAGTACCATCAGGCCTAAGCTTCTTCTTGAATACCTATTTGCATCCTATAGGTTTGCACCCATAAGGACGATCAGTTATCTCCCAAGTTTCATTCGCCAAGATGGAATCCATCTCGCTCGAACTGCTTCCTTCCAGTAGTCAGCATCCTCAGATGCATAGGCCTCTGAAATAGAACTGGGAGTGTCATCTATGAGATACACAAGAAAATCATCACCAAAGGACTTTGCAATCCTCTGTCTCTTGCTCCTAGTAGAAACTTCATTGTTCTCCTCCACAGGTTTTTCAAAGTGTTCCATCAAAATGGCAGGTTCAGTAATTGTAACTGGTTCCTGATTCGATGAACTAGGCATCTCCTGATTAGATGAGGTAGCCATATCCTTCATGGGAAAAATATCTTCAAAGAAAGTCACATCATTCGACTCCATGATCGTACCGACATGCATGTCAGGTACCTCAGATTTTACAACCAAGAATCTATAACCAATGCTATGAAAAGCATATCCCAGGAAAACACAATCCACAGTTTTTGGTCCCAACTTCCGCTTCTTTGGAATTGGCACATTGACTTTCGCCAAACAACCCCAGGTTCGTAGATAAGAGAGCTTTAACCTTTTTTTCTTCCATTCCTCGAATGGAGTTATCTCTTTGTTCTTTGTGGGAACTCGGTTTAGGACATGGCATGCTGTCAATATCGCCTCCCCCCACCATGCCTTGGAGAGACCCGATGTGTTTAACATGGCGTTAACCAAATCAGTTAGAGTACGGTTCTTCCTTTTGGCCACCCCATTTGACTGAGGTGAATAGGGAGACGTCCTCTCATGGATTATACCATGTTCCACACAAAAGGAATCAAATTCATTTGAGAAATACTCTCCACCACGATCGGACCTAAGCCTCTTGATCTTTCGATCAAGTTGGTTTTCCGCTTCAGCTTTATAGATCTTGAAATAGTTCAAAGCCTCATCCTTAGATTTCAGAAGATACACATGACAGTATCTAGTGGAGTCATTAATTAACGTCATGAAATATTTCTTTCCACCTTTTGTCAAAACACCATTCATTTCACATAGATCTGAATGTATGAGTTCTAGTGGTGCAAGATTTCTCGTTTCCGCAGTCACATGAGACTTACGTGGTTGCTTAGCTTGCACACACACTTGACACTTGGATCCCTTGACAGTGGTGAACTAGGGATTAAGTTCAACTTCGCTAGTCGCGACATGCAACCAAAGTTAACATGACAAAGACGTGAATGCCACACATTTGATTCACTATTGTTGCAAATATGATTAACAACTTTATTGCAAACGTCTGATAAGGATAAATGAAACAGGCCTCCTGACTCATAGCCTTTACCAACAAAGGTTCCATACTTGGAAATTACAAATTTATTCGACTCAAAGACAAGCTTGTAGCCATCTCTACACAGAAGAGATCCGCTAACAAGATTTTTATTGATGGAGGGGACATAATGCACGTTCTTCAGCCGCACGATCTTCCCCGAAGTAAATTTCAGATCGACCGTGCCAACACCACGAACAGAAGCACTTGAACCGTTGCCCATCAACACGGTTGAAGTCCCTGCGGTCTGATAAGACGAAAACATGGAAATATCACCGCATACATGCACATTAGCATCCGTGTCAATCAACCAATCAGGAGAATGACATACTGAAAGAATAGTGGAAAATATACCATACCCAACATCCTTCATGTCAGTGTCTCCAATGACAACATTAGCGGTCTTGCCGCCTTTCCCAGGATGACGCTTGTCATAGCGATTGGGGCAACTAGGAGCCCAATGATCAGGATCTCCACACACACATGACAAACACATTTCTTCTTGTCATTCTTCTTCTTGAAGTTCGTGTGCTACACAACCTTGTTCTTCCCATCAAACTTTGCTTTACCATCAAACTTGCCCTTGTTCTTGAACTTGTGGGGCTGGAAGTTCTTCTTCTGTACCAGATTGGCACTAGAACCTCCCTCAATACCTCGAGCATGGTTGTCCTTTGCTCTCGCCTTTTCTTTCACATCAAGCTCAACCACGGAGCGCTCTTCAGTCATCCTGTAGTCGTAGAATTGCTCCATGATGTACAACTCAGTGCCAGCATCCGAGACCCCAAACTTGGCCTTAAGTGCATCCCACATATCTTTTCCATTATCAATTGACGCATAAGCATCAACTATGTTCTCACCAAGAACACTCAAGAGAGCAGCCTTAAACAAGGTATCCATTTTCTGAAAAGATTGTGCCTGTTGGGCATCTTGCTCTCCTTCAGGTTTGCCAAGAGTGGCGTCATAGCAGCTCATGGTCTGAAACCATAAGACTGCTCTCACGCACCACCTCTTATAGTGGATACCCTCAAACATAGGAGGTCTCATGGAAGTAGCAAAACCACTCGGAGTAAATTGCCTATAATAAGGTTTTTGGATTGTTGGAAATATGAGCAATTTACCGAATGATTTTATTAACAGAAATACTAGATAAAGCATGACTAGTATAGCAGTGATAAAACAAGTCATGCGATTTGACAAAGAGAAGGTAAATAACATCTGCATATATGAGCTAGAACCGATCATCTCTAGAGCAGACAGTAGATCAAGATGCATATAAGAGGTAGATCCTAACATGTCTAGGGAAAATACTAGAACAAGCAACTGTGACAGGACCTCTAACAGGAAAAACAAGAACACGTACAAGACAGTAGCCGGAGCAGAGGCACTGGACTTGGGGTCGGTGTCCTCCATGTCGTCGAGGAGGATGTCGACGTCGGGGAAGTAGTCGTCGGAGTCCGGGGCGTCCGTGACGAAGAAGTCAGTAGTCGCACAGAGCGCTCCCCAAAAACCTTATCACCCTTCTGCTGTACAAGGCTCAAAGAGGTGCGGTTTCGGAGGCCTACTGTCCCGACCTGCGGTGCACGCCGCAAGCCGGGATGAGGAAGATCGTAGCAGCAGCGCAGTGTTCAGGAACCGGTGGCGAGAGGAAGAATGAGTTCTGGTGCATCTCTCTGAGAGGAGCGACCTCCCTTTTATAGGCGCACGAGAAGGAGGCAAGAGGGCAGCGACGGAAGGTGAAACGAAGAGACATCGGCTCGGCTCATTCCCGCAACCCGCGGCGCGTCGTGACGAGGCGAGGCGAGGCGAGGCGGGCGGCGGAGGAGGAGCGCGCGTGGATGTCCCTCTTGTTCTCATGCTCATACAAGTGGAGAAAGAGCCTCCTATAAAGAGGTCCAACTCCCTCTAAACTAGCAATGTGGGACTAAACTTTAGTTCCACCTCTTGCCTTGCACTAATGGGGCTGCGTGGGCCTATAGGATTTATTAGGAATTTCTAAAACTGCTATTGGGCTAGGTCCAAATGGACAAAAATTCCAGCATGCATGTCTCCGTATTGTAGTTTGGGTTTACTTCCCTTTGTCAGTACAAGCATCAATTGATTATTTGAAGGTCTGCAGTTTCTAGTTTAAATTTTAACATTTCATCGATTTCTGTTTCAGTTGTGTTCCTTTGTACAACTTCAGCTACACATATACTTACTTGATGGGTTCACCTAAAAGTATTGTGGATAGGTAATGGAAAATTACGATATTGTTACTTTGCAACTTCTGAAATTTCCATAGAAGATGCAGTGTTTAAGCCTGAAGTTTCTAAAATGAGTTTATTTGTCTTTAGTTTCACTGACAAGACAGAGAAGCGCTATAATCCAAACATGTCTCCCGTCATTCGAAAGGATAAATGGAGGAAAGGATCCCAGGTTCTTGTGATTGCATGGCTTTCTTTTTGCTGTAGATTTTCATACTTGTTTAAGAGCTTAACTCTGAATCCATCTGCCATCTCATTTCAGTGGGTAATGTTAATCAGAAAACACGCAGAGGTTGTTGTTGGCGACAAGCATGTGTTTCAAGTATTCAGAAAGCATTGTAAGGTAGTTGTTGTTCTAGTGATGTGGATACTGGAATTTCCGCTTACCTTATTTTGGCCCTTTCTAGTCCTTGACGTGAAGTAAATGTTACATTGTTTTTGGATGTGTTTGTTTGAGTTTCTCTTCATGTGCTACAGCCTTGAATGCTTAAACTTACAATTCATTTAACAAATAATGCTAGCAATAGATAATGTGTGTCTTCCATTAAGTACATGTATGAAAGCCTGAACTTTAAATTCCCTAGTTTGGACATATGGTCATATGTGCTGCAGTGATTATGATTGCGACAATTTATCCCATGACTGCGATAAACAATAAGAATTTATCCTTTACACCCTTGGATAAGTGTGATGTAGCAGCTGTAACTACTGTACTGATTCAGATAGATGCTATATCATATCTATCCAAACTAAAGGTCTTGTCCGCATTTACATTTGAGCAGCAGCAATGTTTATCTTTAGCATATATGCATGACCGATGCAAATTGATTCTGGATCTGTTAAATTATTATTATCCGACTCCCATCCATTGATGTTGTGAAGACACTACACAAACGTGCTTAAACTAGCTTATACTGAATTATGCAGTTATTTACAATGAGAGACATCTTGTTTTAATGTAGCCTACTGATCCGTCATGTTTTTGTGCACATCACAGTAATGATTGTGTTTGGTTTTACCTAATAATTGCAGATGGTTGTGACCAATGCTTTGCTTGGACAAAAGCTGGTGAATGCTGTAAGTATTTATTTTAGGAGGTTGCTATGCAGTTTACTCAGACAAGCTCCATATGTAGTTTCAGGCCAAAAGGTTGCATTTAATAGCTGTTGTTTTGCTCTTCCTAGGAAATTGTTGTTTTAAAAGTGACATTCAACTTAAATATATCGATGGTTTCCAATTATGCATGAATTGTTTCATTTTTCCCCAATATGACTTCTACTAAAGTTTAAAATGAAGGGAGAAGATAATTATCAATGCCTTTCCTAGATAAAGTCGCACCCATTTTGTATGGTAGGCAAAAACAAATAAACTACTTTGGTTCTGTACTACTCCCTCCGTTCGGAATTACTCGTTGCGAAAATGGATGTATCTAGATGTATTTTAGTTTTAAATACATCCATTTCCGAGACAAGTAATTCCGAACGGAGGGAGTACTTCCAAAGTCCTACAATTTTAGTGATGTAAATACCCGTTCTGAGTATAATTTGGCATTGTCTAAGTTCTACTATATGTGGTGAATGCTTGTTTCCTTGGATCATCAACAATCAAATATGCATTTCAATTTGTATCCCCTGCTCAACAGCGATTAGTCATTCACCAAACAATAATACTGATCCCTGAAATTTAATTTTCTTTACCTTTATATCTGACTGTTATTCTTATGGCATCAATTTCTCTCTCTTTCAGAGACGACTAGGATTTGTATTTCGGCGAAAGCAGATATTGGTAAGGTTCAGTTCTCCACATTCCCTCCATACTCACAGGGAAGTTTATATAGATTGTCAGACTTGTGCATATAATTTCTGAAAAATGGTTCTTTATAATGACGTCTTGTTCTCTTCATCATAAATGATCTTCGTCTTGAACCTTGCAGAAAGGAGCTGCCCAGGAGGAGCACGATTGTATTCCGGATGAACACTATGTGCAGACATTATTTTCTGTAAGGCTTGTTATTGTTGACAATTATTTTGGATTTTGAACTGATGTAATTATTCTTTCAAGTCATAATGAGGGGCCCACTCTTTCAAATTCTAGATCAGAGGACTGGAAGATGAACTTGAAAGGAGAACTTTGACCTATACATCATGGAACCAGTCAACTTTAGATCCTAAAGATAAAATGACTTGGCATCCAACGACATTTGAATATGACGCAGCAAGTCCTGAGCAGATCAATGCTATAAAGGTATCTTCTTATTTTGGTTTGCATATTTCATCTTTTGGCACTAGTGTGTGAAACTGTGAACACTGCACATCAAGATACTTGAAAGTGATGTATTGATCTTTTGTCCTTTTGCCTCCAAATTTGGCTGGCCAATAGCAAGCTCCAGTTATATCCTAGATATCCTGGTCCAAACGAGATAGTGGAATCTGCAGAACACCATTTTCCAGTCCTTCAGAACAAAGAAACAATCCTCCTTTTCCGTTTCTTTAGAACAAAGAAACAATCTGCTCAGTATTCATGTCTGCATGGTATATCTTGTTGACCATTATGTACATGGAGTAACAGGTTTCCTTTTGTATAATATATATCTTGCAGGTTGCTTACCCCCTTTTTTTTTGCTTGTGCACATTCTGTTATATAATAATATGAGAAGACCACCATTGTAAGTGGTTTATCATTTACTCCCTCCGTTCCAAAATAGATGACTCAACTTTGTACTAAATTTAGTACAAAGTTGAGTCATCTATTTTGGAACGGAGGGAGTAGTTAATATCATGATGCTAAGTTTGTTCTGAATAATTTTGCAGAGTATCGATCATGTGAACTATGAGGTGGAACACAGGACCGAGTGGTGCAAATCCAACGGCACATCTGTCCCATGTTTCTTATTTGCCAGAAAGTTCTCATATGGCGCCGCGATGCATCTGTTGGAGGATGGTGCTTTTGGTCTGCTAAAATCTGCTCAACTACTGGTTAACTTTTAACAAATTCTCTTGTATACGAGCCATCATGTTTCGTGTGGGTGGATCAGTTCATAGCCAGGTCCAGCTTCGTTGTTTGCAGTAGCATTTGCAGCTGAAGCTACTCAGCGATGGAGTACCATAGTTTACTGCTAGGATTTAGATTGTGTATAGATCATCGGATCGGAGCAGAGTAGGTTATTATTGTACAGAGCATCATTGAAGTATGGGAATAGCATCAGGATGCAATCTCCAACTTACAGACTGAGGCTGGGACGCGGTGTCAACGGCTCCATCCGTGACAAACAATGAAGCATACAAATATAAAGGAGAATCTGTCGCAATGGTTTACTATCAGTGTAGGAAAGGTGCAGCAATAATTTTGTGTCAATGATCTTATACATACAAAAAATAGAAGAACAAAACAGAAAGGAAGTACATTTCTTATATTTTTATTCTTTTACATTGAAAAATGCTTCATTGTTCAGTACAAGCTCCCAGCCAGATTGTTTGCGAATACAAAGCAAAAACTCTGGCTATTCAATATGATATACTATTTATAAGCATTACTCCCTTTGATCCATATTACTTGTCGCTACTTTAGTACGTACAACTTTATGGCTCGGAGGGAGTAATGCTTTTCATTTTGCATGCACGGACACGAAAGAACTTCATTCCACCCGGCAATCTCTTTGTACGCAAGAATGTCCCTACTTCCTCCTCCTGTAGATTTTATGCAAAAGGGATTTCAACACAGCTTCATTCGGCTGTGCTTCGATGTCTGAGATCAGCTTTTCGTAAGTCTTTCTTTCATACTCAGAGAACACCTTCTTGAAGCGATGATAAACAGGCGTGCCAGGCATGTAAATGAACTTAATAAAGGACAGACCCAGTGCATAGAAGCTCCCACACAAGGTGGGGTCTGGGGAGGCTGGTTCGAACCCAGGACCTCTTGGCACAAGTGGGGAGGACTTCACCACTGCACCAGGCCTGCCCTCATGTAAATGAACTTAATAATAGTAGAAAATTATGCAATAAACAAGAAATGTCACACTATGTTGAACCAAAAGGGAAACCTCGAGATTGAGTCTTTACTTCTGCGACACAAGCAGGATCTGATTTCCCGTAATTTTCCTGTGCATGACATCACAGACATTAAGATAGTGTGCTGCAAAGTATTATCGAATGATCCAGTTTATGTGCCTTACAAATAGGATGCCCTTTTGCCTCTCATCGACACGCACTGCACCAGCACTTGAACAAACAGCCAGGAGCACTTGAAGTCTGGGACAGGATGATTTCAGAAATCAAACAGCCAAGAGCACAAGTACTAATATCCTTTTTACAGAAACAGAGGAAGTGAATCGAATCAACCTACCTTGCCCATAACTTTTGGAAAACCAAAACAGTCGAGATAATCGTCCTGGAAGGGAAATCTGGCTATTAAAACCACTTCTTGAAACATAAATACCAAGACGAAAATATGTATTCAAGTGACAAGAGAAATGCCTATCAACGGTATTACCTGAATTTGAAAGTAAACACCCATTTCAACTAGGATGTGCTTCACTTGAACATAATCATCCAAACTCCCACCGGACAATAGCAGTGCACAACCGGCCTTTGCAACAGGTTAACAAAATTTTACTGCTGGTTAATCATAACTAGTGCTGCCAGAAAATGTAAAATTGACATTCTCTTTTATCGGCAAATAGAATGATGCGGCTTTCGCTGATGCGTAATATTTGAAGCACTTAGACAGGGATGCTTTGATAACCCATTTTGATACAGAGATGAATCGAGGGAAAAAGGCAGCACTTAGATAGGGATGCTTTGATGTATCATATGGATTTGTTATTCCATCGACTTGATTTACTACTTACAGATAAAGTGGAACAACAACAACAACAACAACAACAAAGCCTTTAGTCCCAAATAAGTTGGGGTAGGCTAGAGGTGAAACCCATAAGATCTCGCAACCAACTCATGGCTCTGGCACATGGATAGCAAGCTTCCACGCACCCCTGTTCATAGCTAACTCTTTGTCGATACTCCAATCCTTCAGGTCTCTCTTAACGGACTCCTCCCATGTCAAAATCGGTCGACCCCGCCCTCTCTTGACATTCTCCGCACGCTTTAGCCGTCCGCTATGCATTGGAGCTTCTGGAGGCCTGCGCTGAATATGCCCAAACCATCTCAAACGATGTTGGACAAGCTTCTCCTCAATTGGTGCTACCCCAACTCTATCTCGTATATCATCATTCCGGACTCGATCCTTCCTCGTGTGGCCACACATCCATCTCAACATATGCATCTCCGCCACACCTAACTGTTGAACATGTCGCCTTTTAGTCGGCCAACACTCCGCGCCATACAACATTGCGGGTCGAACCGCCGTCCTGTAGAACTTGCCTTTTAGCTTTTGTGGCACTCTCTTGTCACAGAGAATGCCAGAAGCTTGGCGCCACTTCATCCATCCGGCTTTGATTCGATGGTTCACATCTTCATCAATACCCCCATCCTCCTGCAACATTGACCCCAAATACCGAAAGGTGTCCTTCCGAGGTACCACCTGGCCATCAAGGCTAACCTCCTCCTCCTCACAGCTAGTAGTACTGAAACCGCACATCATGTACTCGGTTTTAGTTCTACTAAGCCTAAACCCTTTCGATTCCAAGGTTTGTCTTCATAACTCTAACTTCCTATTTACCCCCGTCCGACTATCGTCAACTAGCACCACATCATCCGCAAAGAGCATACACCATGGGATATCTCCTTGTATACCCCTTGTGACCTCATCCATCACCAATGCAAAAAGATAAGGGCTCAAAGCTGACCCCTGATGCAGTCCTATCTTAATCGGGAAGTCATCGGTGTCGACATCACTTGTTCGAACATTTGTCACAACATTATTGTACATGTCCTTGATGAGGGTAATGTACTTTGCTGGGACTTTGTGTTTCTCCAAGGTCCACCACATGACATTCCGCGGTATCTTATCATAGGCCTTCTCCAAGTCAATACTTACAGATAAAGTGGAAAAGCAAGACTATGTATATATGAAAAAAACAAGGAGTTTGATATGATTGTCGGCAGACTGGAGCAAGCTCTGCAGCATGTACGTCAAAAGGAGATCATCGGAGTGAGTTACATGACAGATTTAGAAATGCTACAGACTCTCTAAAGGAGGTGGAGAAACAAAACCAATATTTACATAACAATAACATCATCGAGAAAAGGAGAAAATATTCGCACCAACCATTTATAAAGAAAAGGAGTTCAAAGGACGCATGACAGGTCTTGCTGAATCCATGAGAGAGATTGGGAATCTTGTTACAGATAAACGAACTATCATTGCAAGCAAAGTTCAGCACAGTGAATCGAGGTGCTTGTATTTGAAAACATTCAGTACTGGGGGTACCTGTTTATTTTTGTGAAAGATAGATTATTTGATGATAATTAGTTTTATCTTAACCAGCCTTGCCTTATGATTTACCTCTCATAGTACTTATCACTATTCTGTGCTGTATTTCTATCAATAAGGATGGTCTCCTTTTCTTTCACAGGCTTTGTGCTGTATTTATGCTAACCAGTCTTGCCATATGAGTTCTTTGCAGTGGTCTAACACTGCACATTTATCTTTCTTTATTCATCAGCAATTACTCAATTTTAATTAGAAAGTCAATCCATACTGAAAAAAATCACGGAGAAGGAGTATTTAACTAAAACAAATCTACTATTAATGATAATAATCCAGACCAATTACACGAAGAATAGACACCTATTGCTGAGGTCACGTTCGATTTCAGTGACCACTAGACTAGGACTAGAGTAGAACCAGCTCAGACTCTGACACTGATGGCTACACTGGATTAACAATTTAACACTAACAGCTGAGCTACACTGCTCAGTCTCATGCCGTGGCTCGTTCGCTCAGTTGGTCCTGGTCCACACGAAGCTATACCATGGCCGGCATCCAGTTGCCGTACCCAAAGAAGCAGTTGACTTGCATCGGCCCTGGCCCTGGCACCGGCACCACGCCACCTCTGGTCGCCACCCCGCAGTAGCACAAGCACGTCGCAGAGGAGCCACCGCAGGGGCTTATGTGACGCTGCGGCAGCTGCTGCTGATGGATCGGTGGCAGAAGCGGTGGCGCCGATGAGCCACCGCAAGGCCATGTGTGAGGCGGCTGCTGCTGGATCGGCGGAGGCGCCAGCACCGATGAGCCACCGCAAGGGCTTGTGCGAGTCGGCTGCTTCTGGATCGGCAGCTGCGGCGGCGGCGGCGCCAGCGAGCCGGTGATGGTGATCTTGACCCCGTGCCGCATGATCTCAGCAAGCAGCCGCGCCGTGTTGCGCGCGTCGTCGAGTCCGCAGTGCAGGCGGCCCTCCCAGTCCAGTCCCGCCGCCCGTACGGCCTCCTGCAGGTTGACCCGCCCTCCGCCGCCGAGCGCCGCCTGGAAGGGGATCCTCAGGTTGATCCAGCGATCAAAGTAGGAGGGCTTCTCGATCCCAGTCCCCCCAGGTCACGACGGCCAAGCGGACGGGTCTCTTGTTCCTTGCCCCCGCGGTCGCCGCCTTCAGCCAAGCGTCGTGCAGCCAGAGCGCCTCGCCGAGATCCACGCCGCCGTCTACGTCCTCCTGCCGGATGCCGGTGAGGTCCCTGCAAAACTGGGTCAGCACAGGCCGGTGTCTGGGGCGAACGTACCTGCGAAACGCGGATAGGATGAGGCCGGTGGCGCCGTCGACGAGCACGGCCGGGAACTCGATGATCTCCTGCGGGTAGATCCGCGCGTCCTTCTCGCATGTCGCCTCGAAGTCCACCACCAAGAAGAAGTCGAAATCTTGCTGCACCTGATGGCCCTGCCCCAGCCCGCGCGCCGCCATGATCGGTGCCATCGTCGCCAATATGCGCGCGCCGGATCGCGGCGCAAACTCGAGATCTGATGAACCGGGCGCGCGAGCGAAAACTAGGGTTTGCGTAATCGCTCGCGGGAAACTGTTGGCGCTTTCGGGATCGGATTT